AATAATAATAATAATAATAATAATAATAATAATAATTTAATATTACTATTATCACTACCATTATCACATATTCAAGAAAGATGGAAATTTATAAAGCAGTAATAGATATTTTATTTGTAAAATATACATAGCAATGAATGAAATAAGCATTCTGGGAACAAAGTAAAATATAATCTTAGGGCAGGAACAGAATATAGAAAAAAACAAGCTATGAAACGGTTAAATGCAATTAAAGAAAAACTTCTGGAACAGCAAGAAGTAAAATATATCATAACATAAAAGTGTACTCACTCGCACATAATATGCATAATAATGTATGATTATGATAATTATATCAAGGATTGTAGATTAAGCTTATGGGTGGTTTCGTTTTTCAATGTGAATGCTTGCTCCTCCTTTGCACTCTTTTCTGTCAGCCCGTACTTTTATTTGCTCGTCTGTCTGTGTGTTTCGTTACTCATTCACCTTTCATGTAGTGGCTCTCGTGGCCTAAAGGTTAAGGTGTTCACCTCTCATTCAAAGGTCCCGGGTTTGAATCCGGGTAGCGACGGAAACATTTTCTTCTCTAAAATTATCTCCTTTCACCTCTTTTCTGGCTCTCTAGCAATTTTCTGTCGTCTGCTTTCGTCTCCTTTTTCTGCCCCCACCTCCTCACCTCCTTTGCCCCCTCATCTGAGCTCCTGGCTCTCTCTGCAGCATTTCTTCTGCTAACTCCTTGGCTCCTTCTTACTCTCTGTGTTGTCTTTCATTGTTTGCAATTAAGTTAGCCACATTTTTTTCTACACACAAGGCACTGTACGTATTCCAAAAGAAGTACTTTGACGTGTCTGTACATATAAAACATAACTCTAATATCTTTTTATATTGAATTTTAATGCGAGTTATATCTAATTTAACTTTTATGTATAACTGCATTTGTTTTTGCGGTCATGTACAGCCAAGAAACATTTCCCTCTTGGATAATAAAGTATTATCTTATCTTATCTTATTAAATCCTGCAAAGGGTTGAGAAAGAGCTGCTTCAGGGTGAATGGATGGACCCAATACAATACTCATCCCTAAGAGCCATCACATGGAGTGAAGGGCTATGAGGAGGCTGATAGGCCACACAACTAACAGCGAAAAAACACCCCCAAAAATGAACAAACGACACAACCAACTGAAATAGCTCAAAAGAGAACATTCATTACAAATACGCATACATTAGTAGCATAGTACAAACAAAACATAAGACAATCAAAACTAACGTGAAAACGGTGTGGAAGCATATCAAACCAGGACAGCGCAATGTATGATATTTTGTTATAATACGCTCTTTGAGGTTGGCCTTAACTTTTTCAAACATTTGGAATTCTCAAAAATATAACTTCGGCAGCGCACTTCCAATTAAGAGAATCAGCCAACAGATTGCGAAGTATATTTTACTATTTGTCAGCTTAGGCTCGTTAATAAAAACCGTGAAGTGGCAGGAATTGTCGCTTAAAACCCCTTTTCATCACGGTAATATGTGTATGTATGTAGTATAGGGTTTTACGGCGCTCGCAACTGCTAAGGTCATATGAACGCGCGGTAATATGTGTACTGAAGTAGCTGGCTTTTTTGTGTTTAGCTAGGCTTAATTTAGTTGTTTTTTTAATACAAATTGCAACTGCAGGCTACTTCTATCTCATCTTTTCAAGCACCAAAAAATCCCGAAGATCTATGCCTTTCTCTCTTTTGGAAATTATATGCTTTTAGTGTGTGTGTCTAATGCCATGTTTTCTGCACAAAACGGATTTCCGCTCCTCTTTATTGATAGTGTGCACTGAGGGGCCAGATATTAAAACGCATAGTTAAGTATAAAAATGTAACTACAAATGAGGACACTTTATCGATTTGCGCCCCAACATTTTTTCGATCTATAGTGTTAGTTTCCGATTTCGTCGACTGAATTAGGAAGACACGCTGCCCCGGCCTCCGATGAAGACCATCAGTCCTCCCACAACTACCAACACGCCACCGACAATGCTGAGAATGAAGGAGTAGCCAATGTCAAAAGCCTTGCTGATGTCGTCATGGATAGCAGCACCCCAGATGATCACGCCGAGAAGGATGAAAAAAACTGGAATAGAGGATGGGAGGGGGTTGGTGGGTGAGGGGAGGGGGTTGGTGGGAGAGGA